AGGGCTGGGGCAGAGGGTTGGGGTGCGGGCTGTCGGACGGGGCTGGGGATGAGGGGTTCGAGGTGTGGGGGTCCCACCAGAAAAGGGAGGGGTCCGAGGCGGGAGGGCAGGGGCAGGGCAGTGCCCTGGCACTAGTGGGTGGGGGCACTAGGACCCTGCGGCGGCAGTGGACGCCGGGAGCTAGCAGAGCGGAGGCAGTGGGGAACTGCAGGGGCCACCCACCTGCTTGCGGCAGGGACTGCCCGGGCCCGGGGATGCGCGCGGGGGCAGCAAGTGGGGGCCGGGGGCACCAGGCAGGGCCAGGGGAGAGACCTGGCCCCAAATATTGGTGGTGCCAGGCCCCTGGGCCCTCAATATTGCTGGATCCCGGGCACCAGGGGCCCATATAACTCGCCGCCCCTGCCAGCCCCTCTATCACCCAGTGGTGGGGGGGTTCATCCCATCATGCCTTTGGGGCAGCTGCTCATGGGGGCATGGCAGAAGCCCGGTATCCCCTAGGGGGGCTTCACAGAGTCCCCGGGCGATGCTCTGGAACTGCTCCCCACAAAGCCAGTCAGGACTTTGGGGAGCCTCCTCTCCCTCGGAGCAGACCGTCTTCAGGGCAAGAAGCTCACACGGCTTCACCTTCCTGGGTCTCTCCTGGGAGCATTCAGCATATGCCCCTCCGTGCGCTTCCCACAGCGAGTCTGCCCAGGCGGGGTCCTGGGGCAGCCAGAGGGTCCTGCACCCCCCACTTCGCAGTCAGACGTGACTCTCAGCCAGCCAGTAACACAGAGGTTTATTAGACGACAGGAACACGGTCTAAACCAGAGCTTGTAGGTACAGAGAACGGGACCCTTCAGCTGGGTCCATCCTGGGGGCAGGGAGGCCAGAGCCCTGTCTGGGCTCCCCTCCATCTCCCCAGCCAGCTCCAAACTGAAACCCTCCAGCCCCTCCTCTGCCTTTGTCTCTTTCCTGGGCCAGGAGGTCACCTGATCTTTGTTCTCCAACACCTTCAGCTGGCACCTTTGCAGGGGAGGGGCCCAGGCCATCAGGAGACAGGGTGTCGGCCATTTTCTGTGCAGACAGGATCACGGGCCCACTTGGGCTCTGCAACAATCACACACCCTGATCCCTCCACCTAGATACCTAAGAACTGCAAAGGGGAAACTGAGGCACCCACACAGTATTCAGAGACAACATTAAGAACATTCCCACTTTGTTACAGGGGCCAAGCCATTCACACTCTCACTGCCAGCACACGCCTGCCTGGCCCCGAGCCCGGGGCTAGCCACTCACGCCAGGGCCATGCTATGCAACCAGATACTAGACCAGGGGTTGGCAACCTTTCAGAAGTGGTGTGCCAAGTCTTCATTTATTCACTCTGATTTAAGGTTTCCCGTGCCAGTCATACATTTTAACGTTTTTAGAAGGTCTCTTTCTATACGTCTCTAGTATAGAACTAAACTATAGTTGTATGTAAAGTAAATAAGGGTTTTAAAATGTTGAAGAAGCTTCATTTAAAATTAAATTAAAATGCAGAGCCCCCCGGACCGGTGGCCAGGACCCGGGCAGTGTGAGAGCCACTGAAAATCAGCTCACGTGCCGCCTTCGGCACGCGTGCCATAGGTTGCCTACCCCTGTACTAGAGTGACCAGATGTCCCAATTTTATAGGGACAGTCCCGATGTTTGAGGCTTTTTCTTATATAGGCTTCTATTACCCCCCACCCCCCGTCCTGATTTTTCACACTTGCTGTCTGATCAGCCCAAGACACCCCGACGTACTGGGCTGCAGGGAGGGACAGCCCTGGCTGCCCAGACGGACAGCCTAGCGGCACTAGCTTGGCATGGAGGAGTCACAGCCTAGAGAAGCAGGCGAGGGGACAGCGAGCGTGCCCTGAGCCTGTGCCGCCCGCTCATCTCGCTGACATGCTCCCACCGGATTACTGGGGCTTGGCAGCGGGTTCGCTCCTGGAGCGGCTCATGTCAAAGCTGCCAGGGGCCGAGGGGCTTTATCCAGGCTGGGAGCGCCGGGCTGGCTGGGAAACGAGCCGGACATCGGTCAGGCTCAGAGTCGTTGGCATGGGTGGGTGCCTCCCGCAGGGGGTCACATGTCACCGAGCGGGGGGATAGAGAGATGGCGCTGTACAGGGATGGGGTTTTAAATCCAGGCCAGGGTTGGCGCGAGCGAGGGCTTAGCAGACGTGCTGCTGCCAAGCACTTGAGAGTGGAGGACTTGGCACCAGGCCCAGAGCGGGACGTGCCAGCCACGCCCGCACATGACGGGGCCAGCTCAAGCCACCCCCCAGCTCCCAGAGCCCCCTGCGCAGTTCTCCCTAGCTCTCCCCGGGTCGCTGTCAGCAGCTGGGCTGGGTCAGGATGGGGCAGCAGGGCAGAGCCAAAGTGTCTGAACGCAGCAGCTGCCCGCAGGGGAAAATGAAAGTGGCCCTGCAGCCTGGGGGGATCAAGGCTGAGGATAGGGAGGGAACGAGGCTGCCAGGGCCGCTTTCGCTTTCCCTTCGCCTCGGCCCGGCTGGGAACAGGATCGGCACAGCACGGCAGCCGAGCAGTTCGGGGTGCAGCCGCAGGGACGCCGCCCCGGTGCTCATGAGAGAGCACCGGCTGCCCCATGAGTGAGTTGGGGGTGGGACTCGGGGTCTTTCCCCTCTAGGGGGCGCCAGCTCGGATCCAGCCACAGGGCAGGGAGCTGTGGGACAGAGTGGGAATGGGGCTGGTACTGGGTTATGCTCACCCCTCTCCTCTCCCCGCACAGGCCGCACTGTCGCTCTCCTGCTCCTCACCCAGCTCAGCTACCTGTGGGGGCTGGGAACAGGTACGTACAGCTCGCCCCGCCGTGGGGACCCCCGGACACAGCCTTCACTCAGCCGTGGGGACCCTCAGACGCAGCCCTCCCCCGCTCGCCCCGCCATGAGGACCCCAGACGCAGCCCTCCCCCGCTTGCCCTGCCGGAGGGCCTCCTGGACACAGCCCTCGCTCAGCCGTGGGGACCCCTGGACGCAGCCCCCCGCCCCGCTCACCCTGCAGCGGGGACCCTCGGACGCAGCCCTCCCCCGCCCGCCCCGCCATGAGGACCCCAGACGCAGCCCTCCCCCGCTTGCCCTGCCGGAGGGCCTCCTGGACACAGCCCTCGCTCAGCCGTGGGGACCCCTGGACGCAGCCCCCCGCCCCGCTCACCCTGCAGCGGGGACCCTCGGACGCAGCCCTCCCCCGCTCGCCCCGCCGTGGGGACCCCTGGACGCAGCCCTCGCCCCCTCACTCAGCCATGGGGACCCCCAGATGCAGCCCCCCCCCCCCCCCCCCCCCCGGGGGGCCCCCCGGACCCAGCCCCCCCCCCCTCCCCCGCCTCAGGGACCCCCGGACTCAGCCCTCGCCTGTCTCATTGCAGACGAGCTGCCTGTGCAGCTGCCCGCGACCTCGGAGGCCGTGCTGGGGGGCGCAGCGCTGCTGAACTGCACCTACCCGCCCGCGGCGGACCTGATCCTGTACTGGACCCGGCTGGGGCCAGACAGCGAGAGGAACGTCTACATCTACTACAGAGGGGAACACCTGGCCTCACATGACGACCTTGCCTATCGGGGCCGGACCACTGTCCCAGCTGGTCAGCCCGGGCGCGGGGACGGGGCCCTCTGGCTACACAACGTGACGCTGGCTGACGAGGGCAGGTACCGGTGCCGGGTAAAGAGCGACCGCGGCATGGGCATAGCGGAGACGGAGCTACGGCTCATAGGTAAATGGGATATGGGGAATGGCCCCTTTCAGGGGTGCCGGCTCTGATCTGGCCCCATGTCGGGGGCCTGGCTGGCTCACAGGAGTGGGAAATGGAGCACGGGGCTTTCCCCTCTGGGGGGTGCTGGCTCTTCTCCAGCCCTGGCACTGTCTTCAATACAACGCGCATAGGAACGGCCACAGGTCAGATCAATGGTCCATCAAGCCCAGTATCCTCTGTGACAGTGGCCACTGCCAGGCACTTCAGAGAAATGAACAGCACAGGCAGTTATCATGTGTCCATCCCCTCTCGCCCACTCCCGTCCCTGCTTCCAGCAGGCAGAGGCTACGGCCGCTCAGAGCAGGGGGTTGTGTCCTGACCCATCCTCCAGGAACTTGGCTAGTTCTTTGTTGAGCCCTGTTATAGCCTTGGCCTTCACAACATCCCCCTGGCACCGAGGCTGTCCGGGCGTTGGGGGAAGAAATACTTCCTTTGTTTGTTTTAAACCTGCTGCCAACTAATGTCATTGGGTGACCCCTAGTTCTTGTGTTATGAGGAGGAGTAAACAACACTTCCTTATCTACTTTCTCCACACCAGTCATGATTTTATAGACCTCAATCGTATCTCCCCTTAGCCGTCTCTTTGCCAAGCTGAACAGCCCCAGTCTTATTAATCTCTCCTCACACAGCAGCCGTTCCATGCCCCTAATCATTTCTGTTCCCTTTTCTGTCCCTGTTCCGATTCCAGTCTGTCTGTTTGGAGGTGGGGCGACCAGATCTACACACAGTTCAAGGTGTGGGCGTCCCACGTGTGACGAAGGGGGACTGTCCCTTGTTATGTTGTACGGGAGCCTATGTGAGTCTGGCTGTTTGGCATGAATGCTGTGCGTGCCTCAGTTTCCCTGTGTATTGCACCAATGTCCAGGAGGTGGGAATAAGGGGGGGTGACTTGCGGGGGCTGCTCCAGCTGCCTGCAGGGATGCTGTGGCCGCCCCTTACTAACCTGAGACCCAGGGGGGGACGCGACCAGGTGACTCTTGGCCCAAGACGGAGGAGGAGCAACGGGCCGGGCAGGGGCCAGGCAGCTGGAAGGAGTCGGTCTCGGCTGGCTTGGGGTGCAGGGGTGGGGCCGGAGCCCTGGCTCTGGGTTCCCCTCCCCCCAAGATGGACTTAGCTGAAGGTCACTGATTTCTGTGCTAACAAGCTCTGCCCTACGCCGCGTTCCTGTCGAATAATAAACCGTCTGTGTCCCCGGCTGGCTGAGAGTCACGTCTGACTGTGAAGTGGGGGTGCAGGACCGTCTGGCTCCCCCAGGACCCTGCCTGGGCGGACTCGCTGTGGGACGCGCACAGAGGGGCATATGCTGAATGCTCCCAGGAGAGACCCAGGAGGTGAAGCCGTGTGAGCTCCTTGCCCTGGAGACAGTCTGCTCCGAGGGAGAGGAGGCTCCCCAGAGTCCTGACTGGCTTTGTGGGGAGCAGTTCCAGCGCATCGCCCGGGGATGCCGTGACACCAGGGATTTATATAGCGCTAACATGAGATTTTCTGTCTTATTCTCTCTCCCTTTCCTAATGGTTCCCAACATTCTGCTCAAACTTTTGGCTGCGGCTGCAGATTCTGGATGTTTCCAGAGAACTCTCCGCAGTGCCGCCAAGATCCCCCGAGTGGGAACGGCTCATTCAGACCCCAGCACTGGGAGTCTGGTTTCCAATGTGCATTACTTCGCATTGATCAGCACTGAATTTCATTGGCCATTTTGTTGCCCAGCCACCCAGTGTTGTGAGATCCTTTTGTAGCTCTTCGCAGCCTGCCTGGGACTTAACTATCCTGAGTAGTTTTGTATCGTCTGCACATTTTGCCACCTCCCTGTTTACCCCTTTTCCAGATGGTTTATGACTCTGTTGACTAGGACGGGGCCCAGAACAGACCCCTGGGGGACACCACTAGTTACCTCTCTCCATTCTGAGAACTGACCTTTTCTTCCTGCCCTTTGTTCCCTGTCTTTTAACCAGTTCCCGATCCATGAGAGGACCTGCCCCCTTATCCCACGACAGCTCCCTTTGCGTAAGAGCCTTTGGGGAGGGGCCTTGTCCAAGGCTTTTGGACAGTCCACGTTCACTAGATCCCCCGTGTCCCCCTTGTGCACGTTTGTCAACCCCCCCGTACAATTCTCAGAGTGGGGAGGCGGATTTCCTTAACAAACCGTGTTCAATGGGACGACGCAAACAGGTGCAGACAGGCCGCCCTGAACCCAGGAGTCCGGGCTCCCAGCCCCTCCCATCTCTCTCGCTGCTCTAAGCCACTAGGCAGCAGGTACCTTCCAGTCTGGACCGAGTGGCCCTCGCCCCGTCTTCACGGATGTGAAAAGAGCCGGATCTTCGTCTGCTTTGTAATCCTGGCACAGAGAGAGGGACTTAGTGCTGACCTGCCTCCGGATACCCTGCAGTCAGGGCTGGGCTAGCAGGGGCTGCGGGTTGGGAGTGAGGGGCACCGGCGGTGTGCGCGGGCTCTCACCTCCTCGGACACCTGGGTCCGGTCAGCGATGTCTATGTGAACGACTTCCACGTCCTTCCATGTCTCTGTGTCCAGACTGTGAACCTGCCCCGGGCAGGGAGGGAAGCCGTCAGCGAGGGGGGAGCAGAGCATTATGGGTAAGTGGTCTCACTGCCCAGGTCGGGGGAGGCGCTGGCTAAGGGGGGACACCCACCCCCAGGGCGCTCCCCTACTTTGGCCTCCTTCCCTGGGGAGCGGGGCTGACTCACACTGGCCTGGCCGGGGCGGGGCTGCCAGGGGGATTGGGCCTGGCATGGCCGTGGGGCGTACTGGGGGGGCGGAGCTGCCAGGGGGCGGGGCTGGGCTTACTTACATTGTCCTGGGTGCCCAGGTCGGGTTTGTGCCACGTCTCGATCTTGATGATGAAATCGTCCTTCATGTACTCGTTCTGGGGGGCCAGGCACAAGTGAGGGGCGGTCACAGAGCCCAGAACCCCCCAGCCTCTGGGGGCTGCCCGCAGACACCTCCCAGGCAGGGGCAGACACAGCAAGACAACGGGAGGCCAGATTCCGGCCTCATATTGGGGATGGAGTCCCAGGGGGAATCCTCCACCCCCTGGGAAGTGAAGACCTGCTACACCCCCTCCCCATGGATCCCGCCCCCCAGCTGAGATAGGAAGTGGAAGGCACTTACTGTGACAACTGCAGGCCCGGACCCCAGGACAGAAGGAACGAGAGAGAGAAAGAGAGAGATGGGGGAGATTAGCAGCTAACATCAACAGCAGAGAACCCAGGCGTCCGGGCTCGCAGCCCTCCCCTGCCCGGGATAGAACCCAGGCGTCCAGGTGTGAGGCTGTCACGGCGTGTGGGGGAGTCAGGGCCCTGCACCCCCCACTTCCTGTGATTCACCAGGACTCTCAGCCAGCCAGTGACACAGAGGTTTATTAGACAACAGGAACATGGTCTACAACAGAGCTTGTAGGTACAGGAAACAGGACCCCTCAGTCAGGTCCATCTTGGGGGGTGGGGAGCCCAGACTCCGGCCCTGGGGCTCCCTCCGTTTCCTCAGCCAGCCCCTCTCCGGCTCCTCCGCCAGCCTTTGTCCAGTTTCCTGGGCAGAAGGTGTCACCTGGCCCCAGCCCCCCTGGGCTCAGGTTACAGGCTCAGGTATCGTCCCGCAAGTGACGTCACCCCGATATCCCATCCCCCATGCAGCCAGTCCCAGTAAAACTCCCCCGCCCCATCCCCAGGCCAGTCCCCCCCAGTCCCCGCTCCGTCACAGGGGCTCACTGGTGTGGCAGTAGGGGTCGGGGTGGGGTCAGGGGTCGCGGTGGGGTCAGCGGTCAGGGCTCACCGGTGCGGCAGTAGGGGTCGGGGTTGGGTCAGGGGTCGCAGTGGGGTCAAGGGTCGGGGCTCACCAGTGCGGCAGTAGGGGTCGGGGTCAGGTCAGGAGTCACGGTGGGGTCAGGGGTCGGGGCTCACCGGTGCGGCAGTAGGGGTCGGGGTCAGGTCAGGGGTCGCAGTGGGGTCAGGGGTCGGGGCTCACCGGTGCAGCAGTAGGGGTCGGGGTCGGGTCAGGGGTCGCAGTGGGGTCAGGGGTCGGGGCTCACCGGTGCGGCAGTAGGGGTCGGGG